GCTGCCCGGCAAACAAACATTGTAGTGGCAAGCGCATGGTTCATTAAGCAGGGCGACCTCCAGAAACGTCGACTCGTGGCCGTTATTTTACCTCGCGTAAAAGAATGTGGCGTGATTTGAACGTAGTGGGGGTCGCCTTCCAGAAAAGACGAAAATAATCGAAGGGCGAGCAATTCCTTCTGACGAGTCAAACATGACACTTGGACAAATCTGACGAGCAAACTTCTGTAACATCTTCATCATATTATTGTAAAATATATTGTTCTATGTTAACCTGTTAATACAGTGTTACATTCATTAAACCACCTCTGTTATCATAAACGGAACAGGGGAACGACTATTTCGCGGCGTCGATTAACATGATCGTAGCGAGAACTTACGCCTCTCGCTGACGCGTTCTCCTAGCGACCGCGTCTCTCCGCGAACGGTCGTAACACGATCTTCCGAATAAAAAAAAATGCAACGAGATCCTAATACATAAATCTAATCTGTATTTAGAGTGGGGATATTTATGTTTGTTATACATAAAACTGCAATAAATTTTAAACATACGAACAAAACATTGTAAAATCCAGTATAAGGCACTGAATAAATTAAATGAAAGCAGAGTTGATAGAAATTTTACTTTATTACCGTAAAATTTAGAAATTTGTATCGTAATCAGGATGATGACGACTTGATAAATTTGTTGTACTATCGTAACCGCCATATTTACTGCTAGTATGAGACCCGTTGTAATAATAACCGTTCCACTGCGATCTCCAACTATCGTACATGTTATATTTCTTATTGTCTTGAAAAGATTTTTCGACAAGAATCTAGAAATTAATAAAATATTTATATAATTATATTTAATAAATATTTACAGAATTATTTGTTACAAATGATTTCAAAAGGGATATAAGTATTTTAAAATTCTACCTTGTTGGAGGTCGATTCGAAAGACTTGTCATTCCAAGAAACGTCTGGGTCAGTCCAAATCGTATGTACCGGTTTTGAGTAATCACTAGATCTATGAGCTGTAATATTCTTTGCTACTTCTTCTTCGTAAATTGTAGATATAGATGGTTTCAATTTCGAAGCATTATGACGATTTATTAACTAAAGATTAAATATATCGTAATGAATATTAATTTTACATTAAAATTAGTGTTTCTTCTTCTGATTTAATACTTACCACAGAGACACCAAATATGATGATAAAGACCAATCCACCAACACCAATTACGATTACAGCAATTGCCCATTGTGGAACTAATCTATCGTCTTCTTCGGTGTATTGGGGAGTTGTCACTTTAGGTATCACTGAAAGGGTATTATTTTTAAACAAAAAGTCAAGATGCCAATTTTATAAAATAAATACTTTATCAATAACACATAACATACCTACAAAATCCGTATATTTCGGATCGATTGTAAACGATCCAAGCTTGATCGAACTCTTCGTTTTAGTTTCGTTCCACCTGTTTGCGTTATAAGTCCGTAACGAATCGTGGAAAATAACTTTCAATTCCTGCGTATTAACATTTTGCTCCAAGTTGGCCAATTCGACAAAATAATCTACCAAAATACTACCCTCGCTAAAATTTATAAATTTCCTCGTGAAATAAATAAATCAGCTTTTCATCAATTTTAACAAATTTTATCTGTATTATTACCTGAATGAATCGATTCTTATCTTTTTATACCATTTTGCTAGGACAGCAGATTTTGAGAATATGAAGTTCATCTGTTAAAAGATAAAAAGAAATGTTATTGAACATTATGTTTATAAAATAAACGCTTTCCACCAATTTAATACATATACGAATAGTACATATACGAATACCTCTCGCTCAATTTCACTGGCGAGTTTCTGCCATTCTTGAGTATTTCGATCAAGTAATTCCGGTACCCAGCTTGTATTACCAATTATCTTTATAGTTCCAGCGACTTCGCAATCTTGCTCACAAATTCCTGGTGTGGTTGGTCGAGGCGTTGTCGTCGTAGTCGACGTTGTCGTAGTGCTCGACGTTGCTTCGGTTATCGGGATTAGTGACGCAGACGAAATCGTTGCGGTTCGGGCAGCTTCCAGTATCTTTTCTATCGAGATCGGAGTAGTGGACGAACTAGGCCAGCCGGTAAATTCTGTGGTAACTCTGCAAAAGTTATAAAAGAAAATTTAATATCAACACGATTTAATCTCAATTTCAATTTATATTTGACTTTGAAATTCGATTCCTTAAAAGAAACTTTAAATTTGATCTGCAACTTTGCGTTGAAACAATAATTCAGTTTACAGGACTCACCTGATCGGCCATCCTCTGTGTATTTTCGGCGTAACCGTGCCAGGTCCTTCACCTCGAGGACTGGGTGGCGTGGTGATTTTATTAATTGCTTTCCGTCCGCCAGGCCTGCTAGGAAACACGAGTTTCAAACCAGCGGATTTCTTCGTTGTGGACGAAGTAGATTCTGTTGTCACAGAAACATTGGATTCGGTAAAATTCTCAGTATGAACGTCTGCCGGCTCTGAAATAAGATTCTTCCTCTTCTGTTCGTAATCGCGTGGCAACAAGGAAGAAATGTCAACTTTGGATTTAGCGAACAAATCCTGAATCGTTTTCTCAGCTGGTGATTTCTCTGACGAAACGCCTATACTTTTCGCTGTTGTCGTCATTGTTGTCGTGTCATCCTCGTTTCTCTTTTTGTTATAATCCGCTGGTAACAACGACGATATATCGACCTTAGATTTCGCCAGGATATCCTTTAACAGGGAGCTTTCTGTAACAGTCGAGTCCTCTTTCTTCAATTTGTATCCGGGTGGTAAGAAGGCACTTATGTCTTGAACAATCACGTTGGTTTTAGGTTTTTTCGCCATGGCAATGGATGCAGTTGACGCGAGTTGAGTCGTGGTTGGTTCTGCTGTTGTGCTAGTTGTGCTCTTTGTCGGCCATCTAAAGATCATTAATCATACTCTGTGTTACTCTACATTATATATTTATCTCTATTAAATTGGCAATCAGAACTAACTGCGACATTTATAGTCATACAAATATTATATAAGTCAAGTCATATAAATCTTTATACGCTTAAAAAAACGCTATAAAAATATTAACTTAAAATGAAGCGAAGAAATACTCGTGCATTTATAAAAATTGCATATTCATTTACGAAACTACATCGAATTCCTAAACAAATTGAAACGAATATGCTAAACTATCACCAACCTGAATCCAGTCTTGGAAAGCGTCGACACCGTCGACGAACTCCTCGTAACGTAATCACGCGGTAACAACCCTTCCAAACTATCGAGCGTCGTTTCGATCTTCGGCTTCGGCGTAGCATGATCGTTTCTCTTATCGTTGTATCTTCGCGGCACAAACTTGCTAATGATCGGCGTCTTAGCGGTAGTAGTATACCTTCTGCGATTATTCCTGTCTCTTTCGTTCAAAACGTCCAACTGAAGGGAATTACCGGCAGTTCGGAAGCCACCGGCGAGAAAACCGCTGGACAATTCCGACTGTACCCTGTCCAATTTATCGATAATGCTTTCCGTGGACTCTGGAGGTGGCGAAGTTTTCTTCTCGCTGCTATGGCCGATCGGTTCGATACGATCTATTACAGGAAACGGCAAGAATCGAGCGCCAGATATGCTACGACTCGTTTGAACTGAAGCTAATATTCGAGACGTATCCTCGGTTGTTATCGCTGTCACGGGTTGTTCCGTGATTACCATAGAAGTGGAAGAGGGTGGTGCGGCAACTTGTTCGGTAGTAGTCGGCGAGGATGTGGTTGGAACGGAAATCGTGCCATTGACGACGCTTTTCGTCGTTACTACCGACACTATGGCTCCTCCGATCAAGATGGAACTATCAGCGGAGGAATTTATTCTCGACACTGGTGGTCCGAGAAAAGCAAAAGTTTTGTCGCTACCTTCCATCGAGGAACCCTCCTCGTTGTTGGTCGTTGAAATTGGCGTGTCTAGATCCTTTTCTTCGAACAGGTCGGACGAAGAATCGTTTACGTTCGCAACGTGGTGAGAATCGAAATATTCTTCCTCTTCCTCTGACGTATCATAGTCGTTGTCCTGTGGTTTCTTCCCTTCTTCTTCTTCTTCTTCTTCATCTTCTTCTCCTCCTTTTTGTTCTCCATGTTCCTCCGGCTCCGCTTCTTCTTCCTCTGCATCCGAATAGTCGCGAGCGTGTTCGTCCTCTGCAAAATTTCAAAAATCTTGTTTTTACAGACAACATGATCGGTGGTCTCGTTTCTTCCTGTCTACGCACGAGACTTTCTTTGCCAGGTGACGAAAGGAGCTTACGTAACGTAGAACCCGTCTACAAAGATCATAATTATTTGATACTGTGGCGCTATATCACGAAAGGAGGTAGCTTAAAAGGTGGCTGCGCCTTGATTTTGCGTTACGATGACAGATAATCGATTTCCTATGGTCCTCCGAATCGCTATTTGAAAGTTATATAATTTAATCAAGTCGATTTCTATTAAAGTTTATACATAATCATGTTCCAGCCGGAGTCTTTCCACGTTAAATCGAGGATCGTGTCGCGTAAAGGTTCGCGTTAGGAAATTACTAATTTTTGGAATTTCATTCGTATCACATTTTACACAATTATACAATCTACGCGAAAAGTAAAGTACATTTCGAGTAGTCGAGAATTCTTAACTTCGTTCAATGAGAAATGTCCGTCAACGCTGTTTCGTGGCATTTCTTTGCAAGTAGGGGAACTTTAAAAGGATTAGAATTAAGGAAAGTATATAACAAAGCACGCTGCTTATTACGTTTGGCCTATCAAAGAATATTTGTCAGACTAATTGTAAGTAAGAGCGAACGCAAAGAAAGAACGCAACAGTGTTGCGAAATTTGAATCGTTTTCAAGCTCTTAATAGTTATTAAAATTTGAGAATTATACGTGTTAATAACTTTTAAATTTGAGCTTCAAAATTTGAGTAATTTTCAAATTATCTTACCTGCGGCTCGGTATCGCGACCGATTAGGACTCGAGTAATCATCGTTATAGTAATTGTACGTGTCGTACTGACTCGTCGAAGGGTCTTCCACATAATCTTCGTCTCTGGACATGTCTTCCGTCTGAGCGGTTAACTCTGACGGAGCTCTTTCGTACTTTGCGTTAGTGGAATCGGTGATCTTAGGAAGCTTCAAAGTTTCATGTTCCGTTTTTGGGTCGGTTTCAACTTCGTACTCGTCTTCGTAAACTTCCTCGTCTACTTCCTCTTCGTGATTGTTTTTCTTTCCAATCGTTTTTGATGTCTCCATGACATTGTTTTCGTCCAAGGAGCGTAATAGCGTGTCCGCTGGATTATCGACAGGAGATGCATTCTTGTCCTGTTGTTCGTACACCGAATTCGTTGGTATCAGACGCGATAATTTGTCCCACGATTCGGCCGATCCTTGAAAGGAAATTGGTTGATTCGGTGTGAGATTTCATGAATTCCATTCGAATTTTCTGCATAAATACTTGCGAAAGAAAGAAATATTCAATTACTTTCTGCAAGGACGAATTTCATTATAAAAATAAAATACATCGATATTCGATAGATAATAAATATCAAGGAAGACGAATTTCAGTAATGAAAAGAGTAATTTTAGAATAAATATACCTAATAACTTAAAGACAAGTGGCAACCTTTAGATACAAAATCTAGTGTACTGCATACGATAGCAAAAATAAAGTTGTGATTTAGAAAACAAACCAAACGAATCGAACGAATGAAAATCGGAACACCGAAAATGAAAAGTGGGTGTGCTCGATTCGCATAATCACGTATAGATCATAGTTGCTCTTTCACGGACTTAACTAGCACGTTCCGTGAGAAACTGTCCGGATCGTTTCCGAAAGAAAGCGAAGACGCTTTCCAGCATTGTTTCTTCGCGTTTTGTAATGTCCTTTGCATCGAGAAACAGTCCACTTTATTTTCTCGACTAGTCGCGGAAAACTCGACTCCAAACTTCCTGCCGCACTACGTTATTAAATAACCATTTAAAGTTTCATGTTACAATTCTTGAATATGTAAGATATATGCTGTTACAATATCTTACGTAATTTGACTTCTACCGTAATTATTCTGCTTCGAAGACCACAGATTAACACAATTCTTACTTAATGTATGCTTATGCATAATATAAAGATCGTGAGCTTTCAATTTTTTTTTTTTTTTTAATGAGTAAAGATAGAAGATCGAAGAGGATTCAATATATCGAGGCACGATACAATGAAATAGGATTAATTAATTTTTAACGTACGCAATTGTAAATGCGCGTAATTAATATTCGTACAATAATTTACTTAATGGGATATCTCTCACAAAAGTTTAATCCAAGTTCTTTGAAAATCAACGAATCTATTAGCATCGATTATCGTCGTATTGTAGTTAATACGACGATATATGTTTACGTTCGATTTCTCCTGACTTTCGATTGGTAGAAATGTTTTCCGCTTTTATCTCAAAGGGAATCGAAGTTAATTTTTATTCAAAACAGGGCAATAATCCGCGCGATTCTCTCGCACGAGACCTTAGCTACATCGATGTTCTCCTTTTTCTAGCTTTCGATTAGAAAAAGTACGCTCTACTTTCGTATTTCACGATGACGAAACTTCTTCTATCCGAAATAACTTACGAATAAAGATACATTAGATAAATAAACTATGAAATTAAATAAATTAGATGATTGCAGGATCTTCGACCTATTACCGATACTTCGATCGCTAAAGATTCGTTGCATCTTACGCAATAAACCATGATATGCTATTGTAAGCAAATAATAAGGAAACGATTTCCTCCATTTGAATTCACGAACAACTTCGTAAAGCAATTCGACTTTCTGAGTTGAAAGAAATGCAACGTGTTAAATATATTTGCATATCCTGTAATTTTTTACAGCTTTCGTGCAAAAAAGGAGCTCTACTCTGGTCTAGTTTCTCCTCGTTTTATTAGCAACGTTAGTTCCGCTATTTATTCTCGTAGTAGGTACCGCTGAACTCCAAAGTACCATTCCCTTTTTGGAACAGGATACGCCGAAATTAATACTTACGCTATTCGATGATCCTACCGTTGTTTTTCATTCACAAATCCTTTCATGCTACGAAATAAATAATAATAAAATAAAAATCCCCCAAAATTAAAATTATCCTCCTATTAATATTCCTTCGTATATTTTCATATTTTTTACCGTCTTTTACACTGTAACTCCAGCTTGAATGTCAAGCATCTTTTGCTTCGTCAAATAATATACCCATTATAGTATGCTCACTGTGTCTTTAAACCTCTACTTAACACTCTATTCGTATCGCAAAATATATATTACGAGTGCATAAACTCGGTTTACGATGGTTTTGCCAAGCAGAGGCGAATAATATTTGCTAGAGAGAGTGGCTGAAATATTCCGAGCTGCAGCAACGCGGGATACTCTTGAAAAGGGTTGTATCAGTGGTAAATGTCGTAAGTGGAATAGTTCCGTGGGTGTGTCCGTGATGGAGTCGACGAGTCTCTAGGCCTTCGAAATCCGAGCGGGAATATAAATTAAGGCGTGGTTACGCTACTCGAATGCGTTAATTGCACTGGTTTTCTTACGATTCGTTTGTTGCCGTGTAATTTGATTTCTCACCGCTAAATTCGCGCAAACACACGTGCCGTTTTAATTGCCGATTAACAAAGTTCACTTGCGCTTTTCGGGCTCAGGTCCTATCTGTAGTCTCGCGTTTCGTTTTAGGAGAGAAACTCTAGAAATGCAGAAACTATCTGAGAATGCGTTTTATCCTGCATTGTTGTTTATGTAATTTAATTGTTCGCCATGAATTCGGTCTGTCGAAATAATTTGAGTCACTTAAAAAGACATCGAACAATTTCTAAAGATCCAATTCCTATACTTTCGTTTGATTTATTTTTTACGAATTAAATAATAATTTGTCAAAATAAATAATTAAATACCGTACGATACTATTTACTTTAAGTACTTTAATCGGACACGCATATACTTATTTTGTATCATCGGTTTTTAATAATCAATGCGAGAATTGCAAGATACCCCGATCTATCTATTACCTCGATCAATAAGAATTTTATGTAAATATCGCGTTTTCCGCCGCGCGTTATAAATTATCGAGCTATTAAAAGCATAACGCGCGAAAGCTTGCGCTAAGTGCTACGCGATTAACTGTCAATGGAAATACATTACTTCGCATCGTGTATCTAATTTCATGATAACGCGGCCTTTTTTGAACCGCATACTGTTGCAAACTGCAAAACGGACGTAAAATTATCCTCGTCGAAATTGAAAACTTATCTGTTTAAAAATGCAAATCGACTCTCAACTATTCATTCGTCGACGTTCAACGCTATTCAAAATTATATACAACTAATTCAAATTTTCTGTAAAATGCGCGTGTAATCATAGTACAATTCATTGTAGATTCGTCATTCTCATTTAACGCAATTCTAAGTTATCGTGACTTACGTGATCAATGTTTTTCCGTATTTGTGTTCTTTTACCGGAACTCGCTCGTATGTCATACGGTTTCCGCCACTGATGCTGAACCGGAGTCGATATTCCCAGCTGTCTCGACCGGTTGTTGGCAAATTCATCGAACTATTGACGTAATTCGAAATCGCTTATATGGCCAATACCAGTTCGTATTTTCAGTGGAAGTTGTTTGATACTTTCACGATCGAGACAGCAGGAAGTGTTTGCTTGAATTCTAACGGGTGTACGTGCACGAAAGGAGCGAGAAGTCGCGCGTGCCAAGCTTAGGCAACGAAGTTGTATATGTATAAATAATAGGCCGAGTGCAACCGTTCTCCTTTCGATCGTCCTTCGACTTGATCGCGTCTACTCTCTGCTCGTACGTTCACACGAATTCTTAACTTGAGGTACTTGCCAAAGTATCGATCGCGTCTTTTTCTTCGTGCTACAAAATGTATTGCTACTATTGTTACTTTTCCTAAACTTACTATTATTCAAACAGTACGTCAGTAAACGTCGTTTAATAATATAGCGTTACCTTTCTGGGCAAAATAAATTTATTACGGCTCGTATTTTATTTTCGGCGCTTTTTACGTGTCAGGTGAAATTTCCACGTTACGAGATTTATGAAATTCTCCAAGCTCGTTCGAGCATTTTCATGATTCGACTTTCTTCACAGTTCGATATGTCACAAGTAATTTCTCCCACAGCTGCAGCATCATAAAATCATCAACTTTCATCGTAATTGCACGGTACATGAATCAAAACCTTAACGATTTTATAAAAAATACTTTTATTGGAAGATATATATAGATACAGATCGATAGATTTTCGATCGTATTTTGCATTTCTTTATTAACCAATAACTAGTAGTACTATACGCAATATGCAATTGTGATTGAGAGTAACCGTGCAACCTTATTAATATTTCTTTCATCGCAAATATTATAGATGCATACCTTAGCGACATTTTACCACGCCTTTATCCGTTCGTCTCGAATAAACGTATAAACGAGTGGTTTGACCTCGCACGATTTCAAACCGATTAAAACCGCCTTGCGCCCTCTCTCCCATCAGATAATGCATCTACATACAGGCGCGGGTCACAGAACTGCGTCTATCTGTGCGGCATGACGATATTTTGAAATAACACGTTCCATGCTTATTGTACCGTGACTTTCCTTATCCAACGCGAATGTAAAAGGCGAAAGATTCGCGTCTGCACGCAACGAAACGGTCACACGACCGTGCCATTTTCTGGCCTACAATTCTAGTGAAAACGAAGCCTAAACGAGAAACGCGCCTCGTCAAAGATTCGGCGCTCGATACGCACTTTCCTTAAGCGAACACACCGTTATTATAGCGCCACGCAATTAATGCAGATTCCTGATACGCGATGTTCCAGTTCTACCAACCGACTGTATACATGATTAATGGCGAACTTCATAGCCAGGTTGCTATTAATTCTCTCTTATTAACCTGTTTGTTTGTTTGCGGAAGTACATACAGTAAGTACTTTCTTCGCGATCGATATTTAAAAAACTTCGAATTCAGCATTAACAAACTTCTAAATGTAGATTTTTGTTTTTATTTAAAGTTGCATTCAACTATCGTGTTGTTAGCGATTACTTTTTGGTTAAAACAATGCACATGTTTTCTGCTAAGGGCTCTAGTACTCTAAGGTCCAGTGACATCTGCTATCGACTCAAAGACACTGGTAGATACTGCAATTATCTCGGTACTTACCATAGAGATTACACGCAGAATGAATAACAATAAATTTTGTGAACGGTTGAGGTATTATCTACACGAGGTATGTATGTGTGTATGTACTTACAGTTTTAGATGAATTCCGAATTACCAGAACCACGCTGAGATAAACAATACAACTACCACAGGGGTGGCAACTGAAAATTCGCCTGCCGGTCACGAATCATAGATCTGTTTCAGTTACTAAATATTATAACCAGTACCACGCTTTAGGTATTTCATACATTTTTAGACATTATCTATACCTTGTATTTATCTACATCTGTGAAATTGTAACATTTGTAAGAATATATGCATAAATATCTACTTCTAAGATTTAGGATGACCATGATGAACAGTTCGGAAGCAAGGTGCAAGAAAATGTACGATCGATATTGCTATGCATATTGGCAGAAACTTTCTCTAAAGAAGTTTCTTTTTCAAGGTTAATGACTCAACTGGGAAAGAAGGTAAATCAGTTGCCTTACTAATCTCGTAACACTATTTATAATATGGTAGAAATCGCGCTTTAATAATGTATTTTATACGTTGCTCGTCAATGGTATTGTGTCATTGATCTTTTCTGGGAAACTGAGATATTCGAGCACCAGGTTTCGTTCGTGTCTCGATCATCACGGGGTTACCCATTCCGATCTGATGATTAACATGATAAATCCAGTTACGTGATTTCAAAAAAATCTCATCTATTACGAGATCTGTGAGATGAGTATTATTTAAACTCGGTGAAAAGAGCGAGGTCACGAGATGCACGACGAAACCGTGTCGTATTTCATGGAAATCATTTACATGAAGACTATTCGTTCTTGCACGCCTACAACGCGAATATCGATACATTTGAGATCTAAATTTACTATTAATTCATGTCTGATCGATTAATATTTTTAACTAATCTTCAAAGCTGGAACAATGATGCATGAAAACTAAATTGTTTTGTATGAAATGGTTATTCGGTTGGTGTTTACGTTTCTAAGTTCATTGATTTCTGTCTGTACGATGTATTCCAGGATTGGAAATGAAGAAAGAGGCGCGGGGAAACCCGTTCGCTGCAAACAGAACGGATCTTACCGGTGATTCGAATCATTATTTTTAGAATTCTAATTTGAATAACAAATTGATAATCGTTTCTTTTCATTTTTTCTATCATTAAAAAGGCGGGAATAAGCAAACGAAAGAAACGCAAACAATTTTACTGTCATTGAACATACTTTGCATTACAAATTAATGGAAATCTCTTACTTTTCAATCTGATTATTTTAATTCGTGATCCTACTAATATCAAGCAATTAACCCGCAGGGATATAGAACGAATCAAATGAAATTTATTTTAACGAAGCGTTGAAATTTTATTTTTTCTTTTTTTTTTTTCATTTTAGCATCGAGTATGAATAAAGTTGTGCGTCTATAGATTTCGCGTTGATTGTTACTCCGATACTCTTCTTTATGGCTATTACACAATAAACGATAATTGAAATATTATATGCATGGAATCACGTCGATTTTATCATTTGCCATAATTTTAAATTAGATGTATCCGTTTTAGGGAATCACGATAATCGTTCGGGCCGAAGCTGTTATTACAGGCAACAATGGAGTTTCAATTGCGTTATCGTGGTACGCGATTGTACGTAACACTCGTATAGAATTGCAGTTCTATTGTATTGCGTATTGTATCGCAATGTACCAGGTCACGAATTCAAACTATCTAGTATTGCACAGCGGTCATCCATCGTTTATCCTGTCCGCAGGTTTAAGGCCGGAGTGCATGAAGTGTATTGCGTTATTCCTAGTTATGATTCAAGAAAACTTGCGCGTACCATTCATGCGAATATCGCTATATCTTCAATCTATTCATCTTACTATTAAGCAACGAGTAAGACTTTGTTACGAAATTATTATGCTTTGCTTATTAAATAAAGTCACGACAATTACCAAAAGATAGTAACCTACGAAACATCGTCCATATTTGTCGCGATATTTGTTACGATAAAATTCAAGTCCTAATTTATGTGATTTTTTCATCCAATTTTCACCAATGCATTGATATTTGACAGGGACGATTAACTGAAAATTTTGCCGGTCGTAGAAACGACAAAGAATACGAATTAAGCGAGAAAGACTACCGTGCCCAGTGAATCGTGACAGTCATACATCGTCGACTCTGTGGATTACATAAATACCACCTACACATTCCACTGGTATTACGTTGTCAAAATCAAACGGGACCTCTCAGTGGTTTCTTGAACAAACTTCGAGGTCCATGGCAGCCCATAAATCATCCGGTAACAATATACTTCGAAGAATCCGAAGAAGCCCTTTGCAGTGCAGTAAAAATTCAACCGGACAACCTGGAATCCCATAAATCTCCCACGACGCATATGTCCACGAGGACGTTCGCATTTACTCTGTGTGCTTTATCCATGAAAGGATTGCGCGGATCTCAGCAGCGCGCCCTCTCGGTCGGAACGCGAAATAGGATCGTACACTCAAATTCGTCGCTTCGAAGGGGTACTTCTTGCGCGGGTATTTTTGGAAAAAACATACCTTGTTGACAGTTCGTTGGCACGAAGGCGTAGCCGAGAATTAGAAACGTCAGAATCATGTTGACGAAACGGTTATCGTTCGTTTTGTGTCTCGACATCCTCTCCTGGTCACTTGTTCACACCGCGCACTTTTTCGTATCGGCACGATTTCGAGGCAGTTCGCCCGACTGTCAGTGCAACACTGTCATCGTAACAACGCTGAAATTCGCCAACCTTTTTCGTCACGTTGTGTCTGTGCCCGTTGATTTATCGAGCAACGACGAGCGGGCACATCCTCGCAGAAGAAAAGAGACGAGTTCGCGAGCACGGCGCGTTTGTCACTGGCCACGGGTAGAAAGCAAAATCCTACTTTCACTTGGTGGCTGCGAGCCTCGCGAGGCGGAGCTGGCACGTCGAGGCCATCGCGATCTTTCCCTCTCCTTTCTGTTCTGTGACTTCTCCTCTGCCTCTTTTCTCGTGTACACGTCTTTGTGACGATCAACGAGAGGGAGCCGATACTTAGAAAAACCGCGGAGACGGGTTTTAGGAAAAATTTGAGAACGTCCGGGTACGACCTTTCTTGTATCTTCGTGAAGGTCGCCAGTGAGGATCAACGATCTTTCGCAACGATTTTAGAACCGGGAGGCAGTGTTTTCGACGCCGAGCCGAGCCCCTCAAGTCGAGGCTCTTTTGCATCCTACGAATAAAAGAGATCCTTATAAAACGAATTATTTTGTTCTGTAGATAATCTTGATCTCTTTTCTTTCACGGATATAACGAAATTAGTGAAAAGATACAGTTTTTGAATAATCATTAATCACAAAGTTGCATTGATATTATTTTTCTGTTTATTATTATTATTATATATTTTTTGTAATTTTTCCATATTTTCATTAGCTAGAAAATAATGGAATCCTAATATCCGAATTCTATGTTTTATATTTTAGACGAATACGTTACATAAGGATCCTCTAGTTTCGTTGATGTTGTGTAACTTCAAAGTTACATATCTATATGTGCGTATTCCGATAATTTTATCTACCTAGATTAAAGCAGAAAGCTGCAATCGATATACAATGTTCTTTCTAGAACTCTGATCATAGATGGTAGTAATTCTGTTCTACAATGTGGAATATTACACAGTCAGTTTATCGTACCAATCACTGCTAACTCTAAAAACATGTTAGTATTTGTTTTATCACGCCATTTTAATTCATCGTTGAAGAATTAAAAAGTCCTACATTTATCGGTATCTAATTCCAGAAACATTTTAACGTATTTCGTGTGATACACGTCGATGTCCGCTTATTATGCGTCTGATAAAGCCCAACTTTGCATGCAAGCTATATATAGCGTGTGTTTAGTATCCTTATTTCGGTTCCATCTATCGTTTTTTAGAGGCTGGAAAGAATGCAGCCGAAGAATGCCATAACACGGCCGCGTCCTTCGGTAGGACCTTCGTAAGCATTTTTTCGACGTCGATTTTATCCTGTCGGGATACGTTCGTTAACCCTTACCGAGTACAGGCGACCTTTGCGAATCGACGTATCGTCGATTCCGAACTGATCCACATCCGGCCAGAAACCAAACGGGCACGAAAGGAAAAAGACGAGCAAGGTCGGCACAGCCGGGGAAAGTATTATCATGACGCAACGAGATTGAAGATGATGTTCTATAATAGCTTCTAAATTACTACTTCAACGGCATAGGGGATTAGTATGCCTTCACGTGCTTTACGTCACGTATGGTTGGTTTTTGTATTATTTTTTAATTTCTTGTGATCGACTTCGTGCGATTATTCTAACGAGAAAAAGATCTTCTATTTCTCTCTCTCTCTCTTTTGAGCATGTAGCATGTTTAGATGTGTATATGCAAGTATATATATCGAATAAAATTACCGCATATATGTATATGTAAAATTCACATATGTGATAGTGCTGCTATCTAAATAATTGTGCGAATTTGTACTGAGTAGTACAAGGTTATTGGTATTAATGTGATTCAAAGAATTTTATCCTCGATGCAATTGTAAGTGCGTGTTGCTTTGCTCAAATAATTGAAAGTCGTATGAAGTTTATATGAATAATAATTGAAATATAATAACTTTTGATATCTCGCACTATTCTCTCGATAATTCACAAGAAAGCTCTGTATTTTCTTCTAGAGATGACTCAATCCCTACAATTTGCATTATCGTAGCAATAAAAAGTAAGTTTGTATTATGAATGATCTATACCACTTGCATACGAACGATTCATGACTTTTTGAATTTCCAAATTAATCGTTTAAACGTTCACGTTTCTGGAATATTTATTTTTAAGAATTTTATATACAGATATCTTTTTGGCAAAAGGCTAACCATCTGTTTTATAGTTAAAAATTGAAAGAATGGCAAAAGGATCAGCAGGATTCTTGTATCACGATTCTGTGTAATAAAATGCTGCTCAAGTAACATATACACTATCCTGCGATATATATCAGTATTAGGATTTTCAACTATTATTTACAGTGAAAATACGAGAGAAGATTCGGTTACAAACTAGCCATCGTGTCAAGTTGCCAATTTGTATTCCTGTGGAGTTAGCAGGAAGTGCAACTTGGTCTCGATTGTAACGGTAACGACAAAAGATATACCGTATATAATCATGTACGGTATTTTATTTCGTGACAATGGTACGAATTTACGGAATAACGTACTTGTCTTGGAATTTCTTAGTCATTTGTGAAAATGAGAAAATTTCGATCGTACACATAACCAAAACTCTTGAAAATTTTCTTTGATCAATAAAGCTTTGTTTATAAAATTAAAGATCGCAAAGATCATATCCAGAGATTTTTTCGTTGACTTAAGTTTTATATCTGAAAGATAAAAAATAATTTACGTAAAAGACGAATGGCATGAGAGCATACCTTTCTCAATAGATGCAGGCATTGAAGTCATTGTCCTATACTGGCATTCAAATCACCTCTAATCTATCTGATATAACTTGCGGTATTGAAACTATATGTACATGATTAGTTATAAGTGGTCTAGATATTATATTTGATAAATTAAAAATGTAATAGAAGAAATTAAATAAATTTTATTATATTTCGTGATATTTGAAACAGTCATGTAATTGAAAAAGTAAAATCGCTCCCTTTTTATAATGTTACAATACGCACAAATTTTATTATATTTGTTCTATGTACAAGATTTATATTGTAACATTATATTATTACATAATCGTGTAAATTATTAACTTTTGAGATAAAAATAAAAAATTAAACAATTGTTCGATAAAAAATAAAACACATTAACTATGGTGGCTTTTTGATCTTCAATTATTATTGTTCTTTTTTTGTCTGTGTATACAAGTCTGTAATGAAATATTATAAAATATTAGAAATAAAACGTAAATAATTCAATAGATCGTTGGGAGATGTAAATGCTTCTCATCGCAATTTTTATGAATTGTTTATTGAAGAAAATATATTTTCCTAATATCTTTTTCATGAGATTAGGAATTCCGTACCGTAAAAATGCCACATAAATAAATGGTAAATAATTGTGATTGTAAACATCTAAAATTTTTTGTATTTATAAGATTCATTATGATTTCTTTAAAATAAATGTTTTTAAATATTGAGAATATTTCGTAAGATACTTACGTTTCACATGATGCAATAGAGCCGCATAAGAAAAGTAATTCGAACAATGAAAATATAATTTCCGAATTATATTCCATCAAAAAATTACTATGTATGATTGTCGTATGTTACACATTTTTTTTTTGTTTTAGATATAATTATCAACACTTTTTTAAGCTATTATATTTTAACATCGGTTTGTAGAAATTCACTGCGCATGATTTTAAACTAGTCGTGAATGCAATAAACACTGGTTATTATAATTTTCATGTAATTTTCATACAAAATATTCGTAATGGGGTGGTTATCTAACAAACCTAGATAAAATATGTATAAAATTCGCACTTTATGATATTATTATGTAATATTACTAATTCTTTCATTAACTAGCGTCTACTTTAACGTAATCCAACAAATAATGATATGATATGCTTACACTATGGCATCTTTACAGTATGACACACATTTTTAGCTGTGTGGAATTGGCGTTAGTTTTATTGATTCCTATAATTACAGGCGATAATCATCTTGTGTGTAAAGTACTTCAATTCAACTACAGCTATAAATTCAATCATTGATTTGTTATTTGGATACCATATATATACCATGCTTTGATGCGGGCTGCGTTAGCTAGAACAAAAATAGATTCCGCAAATTCAAACACATACAGATATCTCTCTTGCTTCATTCGAGACGATATTTACTTTGTGGTTGGTCTTCTCGAAGGTTCTGAGGCAGTAGGCGGTGGAGGTGGACCCCTACGTGCCAATTCTTCTAAATATCCCATTAACAGCCGCGTTCGTTCAGCAGCGGCCGCTTCCAATACGAGAAATCTTCGATCTTTTCTTAAAATTTCTTCAATTTCAGCTAAATGTGCACTATTGTCTTGCACCTTTTTATATGTTTTATCAGTGATAAGTTTTGTTTCCTAAAATTTACATTTACTCAAATTTATTAAGCGATCAACTTCTAAAACATGTTGCATAATAGTAAAAACGGAAGTGATAATATATTCTTAACATACTTGAAGAAGTTCCCTAAAATCGGCCTTGGCCGCAACAAGTTTATCTTTAATGTACTCTTTGAACTCCTTTTCGCATTTCTGCAAAGAAAAGAAATAATTATAGTACATACAGTAGTGGAAGAAAGTGATTTATAATTCAGATTCCTATATAGTTTTAAATAAATTACGTACCCGATCGCTAGACGAAAATTTGAGATATCTAGGATCGTCTTTTAATGATTTTTTAATATCCCTCCATGAAGCGGTAAGTTCAGTAGAAGCGCCTACCTCATCGAGCAGCTCGCGGAACTTATCACGTTTCTTACGACTAAGCTGTTCTATGTGTTCATTAAATAGTCTTTCTTTTTCCTCGCGATCTAAACTTTCAGCTAATTCCCATCTATGATCTTTCCTCAATTGTCGTTTCGCTTCCCGCCATGCTAAGTCACCATTCCTTACCTGCAAATGTAGGTGGCTTATTAAGCGCACTGGATTAATTAAAATTCATCATACATTACGTAGAAAAGATACATACCAAGTCTGCAAGAAGTGCACTAAAGTGCTGTACTGCCTCTGTATGACGATGGTGCTGCCTTTCCTTATCTCTATCACGAAGATGCGTAGCAAGAGTCCTCTGAACTTCTCTTTCTCTCTCACGAAGACTGGCCTCTGCTCTTCTTTCACGTTCTCGTTTCTGTTTCTCACGATCTTCTTCTGAATCAGATTGGTCTTCCGTGTTCTCCTTCTGAACAAGGAAGAGATACGTAAATTTCCAAAAAAGTAATTTTAATTAGCTGAAAAAGTTTGACCACTTACATCATTCTCCTTTTTTGATGGTTTTTCATCGTTATCTTCGATTTCTCCGCTTTCCTTCTCTGACACTGCCTCCTTTTTTTCCTTGCCGTTTTCCTCCGAAGTTGCTTCGATCCTGCGTTTTTTATCCTTCGAACTGTCCTTATCAAGCCGATCCTTTGACGATTTATCCTTGTACTTATCAACATCCTTTCGGTCCCTATCTTTCTTCTCGGACTTGTGATGATCTTTATCTCTGTGCCGGTGGTCTTTGTCTTTCTCCTTTTCCTTTTTCCTCTCCTCCTTTAGCATACGAATGTAATCCCTAAACCAATCTTCCCTCGTGCTTGCTGACTCTACGACTCTGTACCTCCAATCTGATTCCAACTTTTTCTTACAATCGCTCCAATGCGAATGTCTGTCGATGTCTTTGTGTTCACGTAGCATCGCTATGAATTCCTTTTTCACCTGAAACGCATTTACCATAACAGTTTTCATCATTGAAGAATAATCAGCCCTTGCTTACACTCTATTTATACAATTCTGGCTTGAAATTGATTTTCTTATTTATTTATTGAATTATTTATCTTTTTTTGCTTGTTTCAGTTTTATCATGCACGCTTAAGAATTTCCAACCAATGAATACACGTTCAGCCACATTACAATCAGTTTATATTATTATTATATATATAAATATGTATGTATAATATATAGGTGTCTATAAAAATTTATGGCTTGTAATGTGGATCAAACTATGTCAACTTGCAAACCTTTTTATTGGTTTTCAAACTACATTTCGTTAGGGGTAGAAGAAATAGTCATTCATGTCATTCGTTCGTGTCAGGAGGTATCACAACGTTAAGGGCTCTACTTGTTGGAATTTTTAATGAAATAAGCTGGTCAGTTTTGCTGAAAAAAATTATAATCATTATAGCTGTAAAAATAATTATTTGCTTAACCGAATCATCATTAAATACTTTGCATATTGCGATACGAAATATAAGAAAATATGACACTGAAATGTAAAAATAGAAAGAAAAAAGTATGTTATTATTTAATGATGAGACGGGATATAAAACGGATAAATTTTTATCTGCTGCCCTTGCTGAAAAGAAAAGCTGCGTTAGTATATTGTCACGAGATTTTGAAAAGATTAAAAGTTCTTAGCCGTTCAAATTACGAAACGAGGTTTTACTTTTACTAATTATTCCACAGTATTTGCCCAAAATTTATAAATCTCTATTTCTTATTGGTCTTATTCAAGAATTATATGATGTTTCGTGAATGGAGTAGTAACTATAAAATAATGGAGTAGTAATACAATTTTTAATATAAAGAATAGAACAATTTTTAATGAAACTTAATCTTTCATGTTTTTCATTAATACAATTCTAAACTATTTAAAAAATGTTTGGATTTTATTACTATAAAATACTCTATAACTAATGAATCGATTCATTTAAAGATTTTATATGTCTCTGGTTCCTTTACTTCTACATATATTATCAAAATAAAAAATAACAGCAATATTCAACTTGTTTATTTCAAATTCCCATTACGTAATTTGTGAACGACCTATGGTTTCAATATAATGATAATAATCTGTTATTTTATTTATCTAAACTTATACACATCTATTTCACAATGAAAAGTTGAGTTAGAGTTCAGAGTAGCTGGCACATTTTGGTCTTGAATTTTTTATTATAGTTATTACTCGGATCCCGATCCTATACAATTTTACGGTAGTAAAAAATTTGTGCCACAATTGTCTAATTTTTATTTAAACACAATAGAGTTGCAATGTCCACTTCTAATATTTTTACGACAAAAGCAGTCAAGGTTCTCTGAAGAATACAAACCAAATTTCATGAAAGCACACTCATTCTATCATTTCAATATACTCATCTCATGTTGCTTCAAATATATTAAATTTTAAACAAAAATACTTATGTCGCATTTAGTGAGAAAAAAAATATTTTTTGTAATAATTTAAAAAGATAGCAATAAAAGAAGAAATACTTTGACACCAATTAAAATGCATATTTTATTAATTTCTGATGTAGGTTCTGGTTTTTTCTTTATATTTAAACTTTAATATATTATGTATTGACATAAGAACAATTGCCAAAAAGATTGGTATTTCCTTCGAACTTTTCCCTTTTTTATTTTTCGAGACCCTTCATACAAACAAACTCGACGAAACTTTACTAGATGTAAAATAAAGTGCAAGGAAAAAATGAATTTGTTCTTATGTTGATACATCGATTATGAAATAGATTGGTAGCTTTTGTTTCTCAAAATAAATAACGGTTCTTTATCTCCAGAAAACAGAACAAAATCTACAAATATGATTTTGGAATTGATGCTACCATTGGGGTTGTTGACACCTTACTTTTGCTGATAATAGATTCAATTTCTTTGAAATTGGTTTTGATTTTTGGGGAAAAGTTAATCTTTTGAAGTAACGAGGATTACGAGTAATATACAAATACCGAGTTCGTTCATTCTCATGACTCTGCTTTGGAGTAAAGAATGCGGCGCGCAAGGGTGTGCCAACTGTGCCACGCAGTGTAGGTGGGGATGGTAGATGACATCATCCATGCCACCAACCAGCTTCAGAACCAAGCCACTCCACATACGGAACCTGTCCTGCCTGCCTCCTGACTGAAGTGGAGAGTTCAGAACACATAAGTATATAAGGAACCGTCACATACTAAGATTTTATTCTCTACATCTCCCATCTTACAGCTACAAAACTTTTGTCTATCGAGAAAATCTACTGGAGTAGAGAATTATTAGAGAAACTTCTCCTGGTATGTGTTCTTCAGCCATTAATTTAGGAATTCATATTAGATAAATCTTACAAGTGGAACAAAATAGTAACATACCTATAGAACCTGAAAGAATGATTAATTATTGCTGAAAATATAAATTTATTATGCATTATATCCTGTCTAATTTAAGATTTTATTTAATATTCATTTACGTATCGTCACATATCGTATCTTTTTCAAACAGTAAAATAATAGAAATTTTGGTGCTGAATAAAAACTTATTCAGGTTTTATATAACTTATCGCGAATATATTATATATTATATGTTTTCATTTGATATTCTCTTCGTTGATATTATGATTTCCCAGAACGAAATGGAGGATGTATATATGAAAATGAGATTTGGCATGGAAGAGGGAAAGGTTTAATGGATTTATTCCAAAAGAACTTTTCTTTTATGATACTTTGATATATCCGGAGAATTGAGGTACACAGAAACGTACAAGATATCCTCAAATATTTCAGAACATTTCAAAGCATCGATTTGCATATTACATAGCTAAAAAAAATTTAGCACAAGTACCTTAATTCTCACATATTTAAAAAAATTTGTTATGTTCTTTTATCGCGTGAATGAAATAATATTTATAGGATTTTTTCTTATTTATGGTATTGATTAAGGTAGTGAATGTCTGAAGGTGAATTTATATTGTTTCAATTAAGATTTTGATATTGTAGCACGAATCCTGAAAAGTAATATTTTCATTGCAACAAGATCAATGATGTTAATGAAATGAAAATACCTGTTCTCGTTTTGCTGTTTTTTCCTCTTTTTCCTTCTTTCGCACTTCCAGCAGATATTCGTTGAATAGGCTCTCCCGTTCACGCATCTTTTCTACATTCTTAAACCGTTCATCACGCCCATGTTTTTGAGCAAAATCACTAAATGAAGATCTAAATTGTAAAAAAAAAAAAAAATTAAAAACATTTAATTTTTTTCTAAAACTTTAAAGAATCTTTTAAAGCCATTACGTACTTCCCGTGAAGACCAGCTTCTTCTAGCAACTTTTGAAATTGTTCTTTCCGTTCCTTCATTTTGTTCCTCTTTTCCCGCCTCTCTTCTTCCGCCCTCTCCTTTACGTACTTCTCGAAAACTTGTTTTCTCTCCTTTGATGTTAAAAGCAAGTATCGGGGGTCAAATACAATTTTGTGAAGCTCCTTCTCCCAAGTACTAAACGCGGATACCTACCAAGAACAATTATTTCAAATAAATAAATTTTATCTCTTATTAATGTTACTTATCAATTTATACTTGTTTACATCTTTCTCTGCAAGCATATCCCTAAACGATTTAATTCTTGTCTCCAAAGGAACAATCGCCCTTTCTCTAGCAGCTCGTACTTCTGCCTCTATTGCAGCCTCCTTTCCGATATCGATAGTTTTTTTATTCTCTTTCTCCTCCTCTTCTTTTGGCGCTGTGGCTAAAGCAGGAAATATGGTAATTTTATTAATACGTACATTTCTTTTAATATAATACACGGTTATGAGCGTAGTATAATTTACTTTTTGTATCATCCTGTTTCATCTTTTTTGCTGGTACTGGTTCATCATCACTGCTTTCACTTGTATCCGATTGACGCGTCGGTTTCGTAGCTACCACTGCATCTGGCGGAGTAGACACCATTTTATCGACATCTTGACGACCAATGAGATCATCTGGTCTTTCCCAGACAGAAATACGCGATGAGGGATTATAAAAGAATACGCGTCCGTCGCCCGTCCAAACAACACACCTAGTAAACAAAATTTAAATTTAAATTTTGCCTAAGCATCGTAAAAAGTAGTAAATTAGTTTTGTACCAAGGAGTTCCAGGTACTGGTGTACTAGAGATTGGTCTTGATTTGTCTTGAGGTTTGGCAGCTTCTTTAGGCGCTGTTTCCTCCTTTTTCGGTTTATTAGCGTCTGTTTCTTTTACACTATCTTTGGTTTCGTGATTACTTTCTTGAGGTTTTTCTTGTTTTGTGGCTTCTGTGGTTACATTGTTATTAGTAACGGTGGAAGTAGTCACGGCGGTATTCGTAGAGATGGTAGCTGCTTCTTCTGCTTTTTGCCGTAGCGCTAATTTTGCATCTAGCGATAATGATAAATAATTTTTCATATTGTTCATCTTGTTTCTAAATCTATGTTATACATTATATTAAATACATACTTTCGAGATCCTTTAGAGCTTGTGGCTTTTCCCAAACAGATTCTCCAGCTTTACTATTATAATAATATAATCTTCCATCCGGAGCACGATGTTCTGTCCATACCATAGCAGATGCTACTAGTTCCTGATCCAACTGAGCTAATATAGCAGGATCTTCTGCTGGAGCTTGTGGAGCCATGACTCCATGTGGCATTTGTGGCATACCTAATATGAATATTTTTTTGTCATAAAAAATATAAATATTTTTTATGTGTGTATATCTATATATACATCATATTACCCCAATTTGCTTGTGGTGGACCATAGCCTCCAAAAGGCTGGAACCCTGGCGGTGGCATACCAAATGGTGCTGCTCCAAATTGTGTTGCAATTGGACCACCAAATTGATTTGGCATCCTGTGTTGCATAGGTATCATATTAGGAGGAGGTTGCATCATATTTGTATTTACTGCTGGGGTATTCATAGTTGGGGTATTAGTTACAGTTGTAGGTGCTGTACCTGTATAGAAAATATAATATCATAATATTTTTATTAAATTATTATACGTGTTAATTTTAATTTTTTGAACCAAAATTAACATATTATACCATTTGCTTGTGTTGTGTCAGCTGGTTGTGCATTCATGTCTGGTGTTTCACCAAGCGTAGGAGGTGGCCCTGTACCAGGTGGAGCAGTACTAAGTTGACTGATAGCATCTGCGTTATTTGTCGAAGATTGTTCGCTATTTTGAGACACCCTATTTTCATTAATTTGATTAGGAGTAGTAGCCGTAGAAGCAGGAGTGCCAGTTGGGGCTGTTTGTTTAGATGCTCCATGTACCAATTGTTCTAACTGTAAAAAGAATTAACATCGTAACAATACAAAAATATTCTATTTATATATAATCACACAGGTTTTAATAGTAGAAATCTATAATGGAATTTAACCAACCTGATCTTGCACCATGACCTTAACATTTGGTCCCTCTGGTTTTGTCCATGTAGTTTCCCTTGTACGAATGTTATAATAATATGATTTACCATCTGGCGTTTTTGTTTCTACCCATACCTCTCCATTGAGATCTAAGCCTGGAATGTTTGCTTGTTGCGCCTGTTGTTGCGGGGGCTGCTGTTGACCTGGAATCTATAACAAAGTTCCAAGTATTAGAACAAGATATTTGCATGTCTCTCTATGTTTCTGTAAATCAAAATTTACGTTATTCATATTGGGTGGTCCCATTCCAGGAGGTGGTCCATAAGGTCCAGGACCTGTCCCAATTGGGCCATTCATCATGTGTGGTGGTGGCTAATTACATATAAAGTTAAATTATATGTAATCATTTTATTGAAAAAATGACACATATCGACATAAAATTAAATGATAATTACCATTCCTGGAGGTCCCATAAGATTTGGCGGTCCCATCAGATTTGGTGGCCCCATAGGTCCCCAACTAGGATCGAACGGCGGAGGCCCTCGGAAACGTGGTCCTGCTGGACCCGGTGGACAATTTGGCCTAGGTGGTCCCTCAAATGGAAATCCGTTATTTGCTCCACGAAACATCGGTCCCCTAGGTCCAAATCCTCTTCCTCTAAATCTCGGAGGTCCACCTCTCATGGGAAAATCAAACCCACCTCTGCCACGACCCCTTAAATTATTGTTATATGTCGTGACTATGTACTTTACGTACCATACGTCTGAATCATTTACCCAAGCGTAGACATCTTCTGCATCTTCGTTTCTTTTCATACTAATTTTACATTTAACAAAGAAATTTGGATGGAGCAATGACACGTAAAAATCATCTATGTGTGACATACAAATCATTTATATAATTCTTAATAAGAAACATTATAAATATTCTCCAAGGTATTATTTACCTTCTTTCATGTTACAATAACTACGTAACAAAAAAACGATTTACATTCAAAAATGAAAACCATTACAACAGTAAGTTCATGAAACAAATCAATGAAACAATGTATCAAATAATTGTGGGTAAATCATTTCATCGTACAGGAGCGTAAGTAGAAACAATAGCCGCGTTTCCATAGCATTAAAAGTATAAGGAACTCATGGTAATATGAAGTTTGATCGTTTCGGTTAAACATATATAAGGGGTAAGTATCGCGAGGGGGACAACCTAACCTTACTTTTCTATTTGGTATTTTCGACAATTAATCAGAGGGACGTATGAAATGTTAAGAGAAACTATAACGCACCTAAACCCTCCTCGACCCCGTGGTACGAAATGCCTATAATCTTCACCGTCGAAACTGTAATCTTCAGTTTCTTCCATGCCCTCTTCATTGTGTTCTTGCTCATTATTAGAAGCGGTTTCCGTAGTTGCGGGAGTTTGCTCGGTACTCGTTTCCATTTCACAATAATATAGAAATTAGAAATTTCCTTTCTACACGCCCATTTATTTCTTTTCTCAGCTCACAAAAATGCCGCAAACAAATCACTATTTTATTCAATGTAAGCCGTAAACATATCATTACCAACATAATAAAAGTACTTTCCTAGATTCATTGCCAGTGCTGTAAACATAACGGTCATTATATTGAACGCGCGATGTGAATTGGTATAGGCTTGTGGCTTTCTTTTGAATATCTTGTACGATAATAAAGTAAATTGTAGCGCGGCGAATTTAACTGTACAGCAGCGTAGCCGAGGCAACAAACAAACGTTATTTATTTCAAATTTTATATTTACTTTCGTTACCATGGGAAAGAACACTGCCAAGGCATAAATTGCTCGCTTTCTAATATTATAAACTCCAATAAAATTAATGTTTATTAATAACAATTTGTGTTATTGGGTAACAAATAAGTCGTAGATTGTTATGTAAAATCCGAGCAGATAAATGGGTTACTATGCGACCTAAAAGGTTAGAATCGTTGAATCATAGAATCATGACGCTGAGCTCAGAGTCTAAGTAAATTTCATTAAAACGCAAATCTTTGTTAAAGTACTCATTCTATTATAATTCAGTTTTAAATATAAATTATTGTTCAAGTGAATCTTTCTCGTCGTGTATTTCTTCGTTTAAACGTCGAGTTATTTTGTTGAATCGTTTGACGTTGTTACGCGAGCAGAGTGTTTTAGCATTCCATGGGTTGCAACCGCGCCAAATTTCCCAAAATCTTGAAAAGGCACGTAACACGCAATATTAGTCAGTGTCTTTTTGTGTTGGTTCGTCGAGAGATTTCTAGCGAATAAAATTTAATATTTTTGTAACATATTTGTTTAAATCGTGAATAATAAAAACATCAATTCATAGTTTGTGTCTGTGGTGACTGTTTCCGTGTTGTTGAACGATAAAATGTCGCGACAATTAGAATTGGAAGCAGTACAACGATTAAACGAGGTAAGATGGTTATACAAATCTTTTCCCACCATTACTTTGAGCGTCCTAAGAATATATGGCATTTATCAGATTTAATTATGCCCCGTTTACTCACAAATCTTTTTGTTCCACATGCATATTTACCATTTTAAATCATTTATGGCGTCCCTGGCCTACTGAAATGTCATACTTTTGATCAGGACTGTAAGTAAAGTAATTATGAAAATTATCGCAATTTTTAATCGGCCGAACTCAACTTTGTCACCGTTAGTTTTCGAGAACGATTTAAAAAATATGACACTTCGATGCCGAAGAAAGCTTTAAATAATATAGCCCAATCATTGGAATCCCACAAAATGTTATTTTAATAACTGACGAAGTATGTACCATACGATATATGTATAGAACCGAATTAATAACTACGACTGTATCTTCGACCAATCGCGGGGAGACGCAATCGCGAGGAGAGACGTCAACGAGAGTCGTAAATTCCCGTTACGATTATAATAATCGACGCCACGAGTTGATCGATCTGCTGATTTCCGTTAAGATAATAGGGGTGATTCAGTTAGTATAACACTGTGATTCACAGGATTATAAGGTTTTTATTTCCAACACTTAAGTTACACTGTTGAGTAGATATAAATCGTAGATGACACTTTGTCGCACGAAGATAAGATAGATATGCACAATAGAGCAAGGCTCTTGTAGTTGAATTTAGTATATTAGTGAACGTAGCACTGGAGGATACTTAATAGAGGAGGTGAATGTTCGATAATCCCGAGAACCGACTTGGATAGTTGATGTGCGATGTTCGATAATCCCGAGAACCGACTTAGATAGTTGATGTGAGTTATACTCCTCTGGCGTTGTATAATAAGTAAAGTTGACTTTTCGTTCTTAGACTTAGACGTTAGGCGTTAGATTTTGACCCTTCTAGCGGCGTAGAAGAAGTTGACTTTTCTAGCGGTGTAGAAGAAGTAAGGTACAGTGACGATGCTATGTCGGAGGAAAGCTAGCGATGGGTGTGTCTAGCGCATGGGACCATCGGATTTATTCATGACATTTTTGGTCAGAAAAGTGAGGGCAGTATACATTGCTGGATGAGGAAGGTTGGTGGACTAGGAAGGGTCTTAGCCGCCCTCGATAGAAAGTTGCTAGTGGGAAGCATCGTACGTGAGAAAAACTAACTTTCCCTTGTCAGGCCGCAGTAGACAATAGTCTTTAGAAAATAATTTGGAAAAACGATATTTGTTCGATTTGAAGGACCTTAGCTAGCAAATAACTGAGGTTTACGATGGGTCCTTGAGACTATCGAGGATACGCAGTAAGGATGAGCGGATATCTGGTGTTCGTTTGGCCCGCGGTGTATGGCCTGGTCTAGGTAGAGGGTCGCCCGACGTAACAACGACAGTACTGTAATCGATAACGTACTGCATTTCCGATCAACGTAACTAATTAACACAGGAGAAACAAATATTTCCAAAGTATTATGTACCACCATAGTGTACAATATCGCGTACACTAATTACGTGGACTCCGGAAGAACGGTATCGGGTGTTCAAAGTAGAAGATATCGTACTCAAATGGAACGTGTCTTATATAGGTAAAGTCCTAAAACTAATATTAACGACAATTTTAGACGAAGAACGGGTCAATTTCGACAAATTTTTATCTTTTTCAATGAGATTCAGTATCCTTTATGGCATAACTTTAGAAGCTACCCATGGTGGAACCGCTATCTATACACCAATGAACTCTATTTTCCAGAAAAAAATTTACTTAGAAAAAAAAAACTTTTGACTGACAAGCATGTAATGTTACATGATAATCCGTTGCACATGTAATACCTTGCAGATAGTATCCTTGTATGATCACAGATAGATTATCATTTGACGTTACCAAGGTTATTGGTAGGATGGCTAGTCATCTGACCGCCATAAAAGTTGCCATGAACGCAACGTTGACTGTAATCGAGAACATTGTCCTTTATGGGAGTCTCCAGAGGAATACGATCGCTTTGATCTAAATCTGTACATGTTAGTGGTGATCTTTAACTCTTATATAGACAATATCACGCTTCTTTAAGAGTCGATTACTTCGTTCGTTGCTTGGTATTCGTATCGGAGATGAATTAAAATTCCTAACGGAAAGAATATCGTTTTTATCTTTTGGTACTAGCGACTGCAATTAACTATATTTAAACTAAAAAAACATGAAACTTTTCTTTTCATTTTGGATCTCTTTCATATCCTCTTCTATGAATTTTTATATATGTACATTGTGTATTTTGTCATAGCTTTGGTCAATACATCCTAGCATTAAATTTATTTTTATTTATTCGCGATGATTACTCCACGTTTGACTTCTGATACTATTTTATCTACATGTTGTAGGTTTCCATATAATTTTTAGAAAAGGATTGTAATCTTTCTACGGCAATTTAAATTTCTATGTTTTATCGTGAAAATGTGCTAACTTTATTTTCCAAAATGAGAAAGCAATTATTTTCAAGCAATGTAGATTAATAATAATAACAGTAGAAATAGTAATACTACTACTACTACTACTACCACTACCACTACTACCACTACTACCACTACTACTACTACCACCACTACCACTACCACCACTACCACTACCACCACTATCACTACCACTACTACTACCACTACCACTACTACCACCACTACCACTACCACCACTACCACTACTACCACTACCACTACTACCACTACCACTACTACCTCTACCACTACTACTACCTCTACCACTACTACTACCACTACCACTACTACTACCACTACCACTACTACTACCACTACCACTACTACTACCACTACCACTACTACTACCACTACCACTACTACTACCACTACCACTACTACTACCACTCCCACCACTACTACCACTACCACCACTACTACTACTACCACCACTACTACCACTCCCACCACTACTACCACTACCACCACTACTACTACTACCACCACTACTACTACTACCACCACTACTACTACCACCACTACTACTACCACCACTACTACTACTACCACTACTACTACTACCACTACTACTACTACCACTACTATTACTACCACTATTACTACTATTATTATTATTATTGTTGTTGTTATTGTTGTTATTGTTGTTATTGTCATTATTGTCATTATTGTCATTATTGTCATTATTGTTGTTATTGCTATTATTGTTGTTATTGTTGTTATTGTTATTATTGTTATTATTGTTATTATTGTCATTATTGTCATTATTGTCATTATTGTTATTATTGTTATTATTATTATTGTTATTATTCTTATTATTATTATTATTATTTTGAAGGTTTTGAAGTTGGTATATTTATCGTATTATCATGTACATTAATTCATCGGTGTGCCTATCCACGTATTAATTTTACCTTTGATCACACAGTGCCACCGCGTATGCACTTAAGACTGTTCATACAACCGATATCTAAAGTGACATGTCACTTGCTTGTCAAAGGCCAGCGATAATAGTATATTCGATATTCCCGTGCAATTAGACTTGGCCAGTGTCTTTATGTATATCATCCTCGTAACGCTTCTGTTTATAGCATGAAATTACATCATTTTTAATTCTGAATCTCTTCACATTTTATTCCTATAAAACAGTATATTCGACTTTTTTTTTCATTGGATCTTCTTTTACGGTATTCCGATCATTTCAATCGTTATCAATCTTAATAATTTGAAGATCGTTAAAATTAAAAAGATATTTATGCATTTATATAATCATTTATATTACGTAATTATATTTATATAATATATAAGAAATAACGTATCGAATAAGATGAATAATTGAAAATATCGATCAGTATCGAGTAGCTATATCGGACGATCGAACATAAAAGATAGCAATGAACGAAATATCGAACAGAGCGTATTCAATCTCGTTAATGTTTTAATAATGGAGATTCTAAAGTAAGAAAATCTCATCAAGTACCTAACAACATTCGAAGATGGTATCTCACTGGGGATAGCCATCCACATGTTATATTATTATACCACTAAGCTATAATATTTTACCAAATGTCCTACTGGACAAATTGTAAAATTTAAATAAATAAATAAAAAAAAAAGTACCTAACAACGAGCCACCAGCTTTACGCTGG